ATCTCCTCCTTTGGGGGCACACCTGTATTCACCGCCTGCTCCCATTCTTTTGAACGTTAAATTCAACCTGCTTTCCTAGAGCATGCTCTAGCTGATCACGAATTTTTTTTTTTTTTGAGTTGGAGTCTCACTCTGTCGCCTAGGCTGGAGTGCAGTAGCACACTCACGGCCACCCCAGCGTCGGCCTGCTGGGCTCTGGCGATCCTTCCACCCCAGCCTTTCAAGGAGCCAGAACTACAGGTGTGCTACCACACCCAGCTAATTTTTTATTTATTGTAGAGATGAGGTCTTGCCAAGTTGCCCGGGCAGGTCTCGAACCCACGGGCTCAGGCAAATCCACTCACCTCGGCCTCCCAATGTGCTGGGATGACAGGCTGAGCCTCCGAGCCCGGCTGATCATGGATTTTTTAAAAAAGTCTGGCTGTTTTGATGTGTTTTATTTTATCGAGGATTCTTGTTTCTCTGCTCGGAGTAAGGACAGGGACTTTCCTTTTCAGGGCCTGTGGCTGTTGTCAGGTTTTAGCACGGGGACCCTCGTGGCTCTGAAATTGGACACAGCAGCTTTTTACCATCTTCCTTTCTTGGTGAGGGAACATTTTTCTCCGCCCAGGCACTCCCCAAGTTAGGTTGACCTCATCCCACTGTGGCGTTTTCTCTCAGGTCGTTGGATTCCTGCTGGCTGCATTGGGGAAACTGGAGGATTAACATTTTCCTAGAAAATCCCTTTTCATTAAAGTGTCTGTTGATTAACTCAGGAACCTTTCGCATGGTCACAATCTTTTCTTTTGCTTTTATTTTTTGAGTCAGGGTCTCGCTCTGTCACCCAGGTTGGAGGACAGTGGCACAATCACAGCTCACCATAACCTCAACCTAATGGGCTCAGGATATCCTTCCACCTCAGTCTCCCAAGTAGCTGGGACTACAAGTGCACACCACCATGCCTGGATTTTTTTTTTTTTTGTAGAGACAGAATCTCACTATGTTGCCCAGGCTGATCTCAAACTCTTGGGCTCAAGCAATCCTCCCATCTTGGCCTCCCAAAGTGCTGGGATTACAGGCGTGAGCCACCACATCTGGTTAAGTTTCTCAGAGGCTTTTAAGACTGTGTCCATCTCTGAGGTTTTAACCCCTCTCTGGTTCCTCTTGTGTGCTCCGCTGCATTGGGCTGATGAGAGTGGAGGGTTCAGGGCAGAGAGACCAGAAAGGTCTCACGGGAGTGGGCAGACCTGTGTCCTAGCAGCAGGGGCTGAGATTGGAAGGAAACCAGGGGGGGGACAGAAAAGTGACCACTGCTGGGGATGAGGGAGGAAGGGGAGTCTCAGTGACACCCAGGTCCCAGGCCTGGACAGCCACACCAGTGATGGCAGCAACCTGGCCAGGTAGAGTCCGAGAGAGAAGGGACAGGCACCAGGGGAAGTGGAGAAGGGACCAGACCGAGGGTTGCCTCCAGGGCCAGCAGGGCAAAGGCTAAGACTCGGGCTCCTTTGTTCTGCCAGACAGTGGGTCGGGCTTTCTGTGGGAACACAAAGGGGGATTCCTGAGTTGAGTGCACACACGTGTGGCCCGGACCTGGGCTGGAAGGCATGGACCCGGTGGAACACAGAAGGGGCCCATCTACTGCTGGGGAAAGGTTTGAAAGCCTGCAAGACCCCCTCACTAAGGAGCAAACAGACTGTGTTCTGGCCCCGCCCCTGGGCAACTGCCCCTTCACTAATCCCTGGAAGACCTCATGCCAGCGCAGGGTCCTCAAGACTCCCCAGAGATCTAGGCTGGAACTTAGTGCAGGGGGAGAGCTGGTCCTCGCTTGCGGTGACTCAAGTGTCAAGCGACACTCACCCTCCAACCTCCGCCCCGGCACCCTCACAACCATGCTCTATTCAGGACACCCGCATACAGCTCCCTCGGGACACAGGCAAGGATGAGATCCTTGAAGCCTTGGAGGTGGTCTCAGGACCCTTTGGGCAAGAAGCTCCCAGGTCCCCAGCACCCAGACAGTGGCCCAGAAGGGGGCTTGCTGCACCAGCCAGGGTGGGCTTCCCCGCCGCGTGGGAAAGGCCGTACTTGGGTCCAAGCTGGGTCTTCCAAAGAGGAACCCCTGACCTCTCCTGCCCAGGGCCCAAACCCTTACCGCGAGAGACACGTGGAACCCAGCGCACACGCAGTCAAAGAAACAGACATACAACTAGCCCTTGTTGTTGTTTATTTTTTGCATGTCTGGATCAGTAGTAAACGGGAAAAGCTAAAAAGAGCGCTATGGACATGTATTTGATGTTTTAGTTACAGAATCATCACCTCCTCCTCCTCCTCTCTCAATTTGGAACCGAATTGGTGATCATGTCTACACCGCTATCTTTGAGCTTCTCCGTTTGTTGCGTAAACTACACACCACACCAAACACACCGATGGGTGTGGATGGGCAGTCAAGAATCCTGACACTCTCAGCAGAACCTGGTTGCCATACGACATGGGATGGACCACTTCTGCGTGGCGTGAAGACCGTACGAGGCTGCGACACTGCTCCCGGGACACCGGGGTGCGTGGGGGTGTGGACGCTGTCAAATTTGGCTGGGGCGGCCTCATCGTGTACTGGCGATAGAGAATTTGTCACGTGGGAAGTTGAGATGGTGGCATTCTCGGGGAGGCATCTGCCCGGGCCTCTCCTCTCCCACGTTCTCTACCTGCCAGGCTCCCTGGGGACCCCGTGCGGGCACTGCCCTGTAGGCTGTCCCCCTCGTCCTGCCTGCCCGCGGCCTCCCTGCACACCGCCTTGCACTCAGCAGGCGTCTGGAAATGCTTCCTGATCGAATGAATGATGGAGGGTGAACCGATGAATCAATGAGTTGGTCAAGAATAGAGAGACAGCCGGGCTCCTTTTCCTGGTCGCCCGGGGACGAGGCCGCTCTCCATGGCATCGAGATCGGAGAACACGGAGTAGAGAATTTGGTCACTAAGCCAATCTCAGAATTTCGCAGTTGGGGAAACTGAGGAACAGAATCGTCAGCTGACTCAGTCCAGGTGTCATGCTGAGAGGGGCCAGACGGGGTACCAGACGCCCGCCTGACACATGCCAACAATTCTTTTTTTTTTGTCTTTTTCTTGAAACAAACTCCAAATGAGATGAGACGGTGACTTGGATGACTTGGGGGGGCGGAAGTGGGCCTGGAGGAAAGGGTTATCAGAGACTGGGGTGCGGGAGCCCGGGGCTTGTGGGGGAGGGAAGGAGAGGGGGAGTCCGGGAGGTGAGAGCAGGAGCTGGTGGAACAGGGAGGGCGGTGGTGGAGGGGACAGTCTGTCGGGGTGAGGACAGACCCTGGGGATTTGGACGGAGAAGGGCCCAGGGTAACCTGGGGCTAGGGCTAGGGGCGAGGTCGGGAGGGGCCGGGGATGGGTGATGCGGGGGTGAGGGCTGCTGGTGGGGAGGGGCTTGGTGGCACAGGGGAGGGTCCAAGGGGCTCAGAGGGTCAGGGCGGACGTGGGGGAGCCTGGAGGGGCTTGGGTCAGGGCCATAAAAGCCCAGAAGTGAAGGGACCAAGGGTTTGGGACAGGGCTGGAGGGTGGGAGTGGTGGGTAGATGCCAGCCGGGCTTTGAGTCAGGATGAGGGGACTTGGTGGTGGTGGAAGGATGGTTGATACTGTGTCATGACGGTGACGCAGATGACAATGGCCGTGAAGCTGTGTGTGTGGGTGACCGATACGAATGACTGTATACGACGGTAGATGGTGAAAGTGATGACTTGGAAAGAAACACATGTAGCAAGGCGAGCACGGCAGGTAGTACTCCATAAAGCTCAGTATAGATTACTATAAAATAATTTAAAAAGCAAAATATTCCTCTCTGGTACCAGGGGCTGTTTAGCTGCCCAAGCCCCAGGGCTGGGAAGCTACACAGAGCTCTGACCCATTTCTTTCTATTTTTTTTTTTGCAAAAAAAATAGATGCTCTCTTTTAAAAAAAAAAAAAAAAGTCAAATTCATAATTCAGTAACTGGCTAGGTCTTTTGGGATCTGAGGATTATTAACTCAGCAACACAGATGCGAATCCATGGCTGTGTAGACCAGGTCTTGTGCATTTGCCATAGAACGAATAAATGCCCCACAAGTGACAATTTCCAGGAAACCCTGTGAAAACCTTGGTGAGGGCCATGTTGCTGCTCAGACTTTGCCAGGGGCACTTGCGGTTCAAGGTGCACTTACATCTCAAGGGACATGTCTAATCTACAGGGTGGGGGCCGGGGACAGGGTGGGTGTTCTGTGTGAGGTAGGGGGGGCTGGCTGCCTGGCTGGCAGCTTCGGGTGACGCCCAAAGGGGCCAATTTTTTTCCCAAACGGGAGGTGGGCCAGGAGGCGCCACCGCTCTGAGAAATGCTGTTTAGGATCAATTTCCACGTCAAGTGTACATCCAGGATAGGCCAAAACCTTTCGGATCCCGGGATGAGACCTAGTCTCCATCAGATCCTAATTTTTAGGGTCAGGAAGAGTTTTGGCTCATACCCCCTCGTTCCTAATTTGGAGTTTGAAAGTCAGAGAGGACCTTGATGGTTGGTGTCCAGACCCCTCCCTCAAGAGGGGCGGGAAGGTGGGCCCAGGATTGGGACAGGGACTCGCCAAGGATTACACAGCGAGCACGTGGCAGGGCCGGGACGGTGTCCCGACCACCCACCACAGCCAACCCGGGGCACGCTCTCTCTGCCTGGCACACAGCCACTGCACTCTGCAAAATCTCCAATCAATCGGAAGGATCTAAGGGGCGCGGTGTTGAGCTCCATGTGAGTGCAAGCAGGATGTGGCGTGTGAGAACTAACGAACGAAAGAGATTTTAGCCCTTGTCACAGTGGTTGGTCAAAGCACAGCACTCGTAACGGTTTCACGAGGACCCCGTGGCCGAGATCCCTCGGGAGGGATGTCGGCACCGAGCCCTGGTTCTGTTACCTTGTTTTTTTTTGGTCTTTTTTGATATTTCGTTAAGTTTAGAGCTTAGAATAACATACTTATTTGTTTTACTTGTTTAAAGATGAAACTCTTATTATTATTCTTATTTTCTTGTCATGCATTAAGAGAGAGAAAAAGGATTCTTTGAGCATTGCGCTGGTCACACAGCCACACAAAGACAATATAGGTAAGCGTAGCGTTCACCAGATTCGACACGAAAGCTAGCAAACTCCACCACAAGGATTAGGACAGACCGCATAGAGTGAGCTTGCGGAACCCCGAGACTATAGGGGGGGCCCGTGCCAGCGCCGCTCAGATCTCCTCGTCGCCCGCCTCCTTGCTGAAGGTGGTCATGTCGATCTTCTCGGGGAAGATGATGTTGACCGCCAGGTCTTCGCCGCTGTTGTACTGAAGCAGAAGATTCTTCTTCTTGTGCAGCATGTGATTGTAGCGCAGGTTGGACACCCAGGCCTCGCACTTGTTGAGGAAGACAATGCCCACGGTGCCCAGCACCACCAGGCTGGTGAGCACGCCCAGGATGGTGAAGCAGATGGCCTGGCCCTCGGTGAGGAGAGGGGTACTCTTGTTGAGCTCTTTCATGGACACCTTGAGGATGCGGTGCTCGGGCTGCGGCACCGGCAGCTCGTGCACCCCGGGGGTCAGGCGGTAGGTCAGCCCGTAGCCGCTGGGCAGCCGGGTGACCTGCTGGGGGCTCAGCGCGCGCTTCTTGGCGCAGGTGGGGCCTGCGAACTCGGGCTTGCACAGACACTCGTAGCTCACCTGGGAGTGCTGCAGGCAGGTGCCCCCGTTCTGGCACGGGCTGCTGGCGCAGTTGGTCACCGGGCGGCTGCAGGTCTTGTCGATGAAGCCGGCCGGGCAGCGGCAGCGGAAGTCGCCCCCAATGTCGGTGCAGACGCCCTCGTTCTCGCACGGGTTGGGGGTGCAGCTGTTGGCCACGATCTCGCAGAAGTTGCCGGAGAAGCCGGGGGGGCACAGGCAGGAGGCGTGGGAGGCCCGGCCCTCATCGTCCACGCAGGTGCCTCCGTGCTGGCAGGGGGAGCTGTAACACAACGGGGGAGGGGGGACACGGTAAAGGGCCCTCGGGGGCTGGGCTGGGACAAGGCCGCAAGGGGCGGGGAGGGGCAGAGGTCTGGCTCCTCCCAACACGCCTCCAAACCTCTTTAGAAGGTCCCGGGCCTGACCAAAGGGCAAGTGGCCAGAACACATTAGGTGACAGAGACGGGGACGCCGGCTGGGGAGGCACGGGGAAGTGCCAGGACCTTGACCCTTGTCTGTGAGAGGCTCACCAGTGGTCCAGAGGGGGCAGTGCCCACCTCATCCCGTCACAATGCCAACCTGGAAAACACCTGCCTTCCCACCCCAGGACAGCCACGTCCTCACCCGTCTCTTATTTCATCGGTCTGACCGGAGGACGGAGGGTTTGTCACTAGACAGATGGGGAAACTGAGGCTGGGAGTGGACAGGTTAGTGGCAGCAAGCTCCTTCCCTCAGCTCCGTCCCAGGGCTTCTGGGACAGAACCTTGTGAGGGCCACCCCTCACCCTTCTAGAACCTGCTGTCACTCTTCCTGTCGATGACCACCCCCACTCTGCACCATGACTTTCACTGCTGGCGGAGCAGGCCTGCGGCTATTGTGCGGGGAAGCCCCTGGGGACTGTCAGAGTGAAGAAATACGGGGTCTGCGGGTGCCGGCGTGAGCGGTGTCTGTGCCCGACTGTGCCATCGGAGCCATTCACGCAAGTGCAGCTTGCAAACCGAAGCTGTTTGCTCCACACGGAGCACGCACGAGGAGCATTTAATGTAAGTGCTTTTAAACGAGCAAGCCCTTTGTCATCTGAAAAATGACAAAACTCCGGGGAAGAAGGGGGCCGAAACACGAGAAATCAGCACTGCCGCCATGGGCCACGGAGGCTGCGTAGGGGAGCCCCACTCCGGAGGAATTTCAAGGACCCCAGGCTCTATTTTGACAGACGGGCTTAAGTCTGTTTGAGAGAAAGGCAAAATATTTTAAAGGTCTTGCTCTGCTTTCCTCCCGCTTGCTAATAAGCAGAAATGGAATCCTGTTGTCCCCTGCACCCCTCCCGCCTCGCGTCTGAACACGGATTCTTAGAAGCCGCATTCGTGTCTGTTTACGGAGTCCACAGACTCCAGGGTTCTCTGTGCTACCCTGGGATGTCGGGTCAGGATAAGCTGATTTCGCATGCGAGCTCCTGTTTCCTCAGAGGAAAGGGGTGCCAGCCCCCAGCCCCTCATCTATCGGCCCAGGGCTGGGTTCAAGTTTGGATTCCTGGGTTCATTTGCATTCTGGCTCTGTCAAGATCTCAGACTTGGCCCCACCCGAGGGGGCAGCCGTGCGGCTCAGTGCAGCCCAGAAGACAAAGGCTGAGCTCAGGAAGCACTGCTCAGGGCGGTGTGCCAGAGGACAGAGACATTCTGTCTGCTGAGGCCACTGCCTGGAAGTCGCAGAGCCCCCTCCCCACTGAGGACAGCGGAGAGCAGGCCCACCTGCTCCTGGACCGGCCAAAGCCCTGTCTGTCCACCGCCTCGGCCTAACTAGTTTCCACTCTGGACATCCCAGAAAATCCAACGGCAGTTCACCAAATCCACCCCCTGCAGCACAGTGAGGGGCTTCCACCAACAGCCTGGGTCCTGCTGGACTCTGATCCCTGACGTTGCCTTTAGAAAATCATGCCGCTTGAAGCGTCAGGGGACCGTCATCCACATGCGACACAACTCGGAACATGTCCTTTGCCATCATTTGAAAAAACATCACGGGAATGACACATGACCCTCATCCGGGGCGACCCTCCGCAGGGCTCGGAGAGGAGCACTTACTTTGTCCTTGGTCAGGCGACAGGTCTAACAGGGTTAAGCTGAAAGGGTCTTTAGGGACGGGAAGTCAAATCAAAAGCGGCATTTCTGAGATCGCACGCAGTTGGAAAGGCATATTTACCCATTGATCACACAGGGCCCATCCTTCTTGTGACAGTCCTTGCCCGAGTATCCAGGGGCGCAGGAGCACTCGTAGTGGCCGTCGTCAAGGTTCACGCAGGTCCCGTTGTTGGCGCAGGGGGTCGAGGTGCAAGCCCGAACATCTGGGGACAGCAGGGAAGACCAGACCTTAGCTTCTCCTTGGGATACAAGGGTGACAGGACCCCACATGAGTTGCCAAATAGCCCTGGTGTGGCCACCAAGTGGGGACCAGAGTAAGAGTGACCTCTCCCCACAAAAAAAAAAAAAACCCTGAAGCGAGTACACTGAGGCTCAGAAAGCCTCGTGTAAGGCCACGGGTCAGAATGTCACCGCCACTGATATTGAAGCCAGGACAGCTGTAAGCTTTGCCCAGCACCAGGTCACCCCGTATGTCCAGCAATGCGGCAAAGACCTTCACTGCAGACGGGAGCTCCCCCCCCATGACAGTGCACCCAGCTGAGGTTCCCAAAGGCCTGTCTCCTCCAGACAAGAGCCCGTGTCCAGTAACTCGTGTCGGGGGTCCCGGCCACCTGGGGGACAAGGACTGCCCACCCCTCAGAAAAACCACCTGTTCCTCGTACTTTTCCATCCAAGAAGGGTAGGGGGTGGAGGGGAAGACAGAGGCGTAAAGACTCCCGTCGAGAAGCAAGAAACCTGATTTGGCCCCATCACTACCTCTCCCTCCCCGTGGTCTCCCCTTCTGCTCTCAGGGGTCCCTGATTAAAAGGCTGCATCTTTTGAAGGCAGCAAAATCAGAACTATTGAGCGCTTTCCTGTCAGCGTAGATTTCCATGAACACTGGTACATTTCCACTGCTTTTCAACACCTCCCGCCATGCACGCTGCATTATTCGAGCTCGGTTGGACACAAGGGGCTGGATCAGGGACTCTCTGACGATGGAGACCCCAGATCCCCAGCAGGGCCAGAAAGAGCCCCCTGCCCTGCCTTGTGTCCAACCTGCTGAGGTCAGCTCCTCCCCACCCTGGGCCTCAGTTTCTCCCTCAGGAGGGGCTCCCCGGTCTATGTCTAAGGGACCTTTCAGCTTGGATTTTCTGTCACTGGTGCTTCTGCACCTGTCAGAGAGAAAGCCAGACGGGCCAGAGGCGCCCCGAGTTAAGGCAGGCTGGGGGCGGGGTGGGGTGAGGGTCCTGGGTCGTTTTTTTCCCTCCCTCAAAGAGACCCATGCCCTGGTGGAGGGCAGGCTACAATCGATCAACCAGGAGAATCCTCCAGAGCACCGAGGTGATGCGTTCTGTGGGAACCCTGTTAGGTGCCAGGAGCATAAAAAGGATTTATCTTTATGGGACAGCACGCACACCACCTCTGCAGTGGCCACCTCCTTCCCTGCTCCTGGCTCGCCTGTCACTCGGAATCTTAAATTCCGGCTAAGGAGCTGGTGATCACCCCCAACCCATCCCTGCCACGCCGAGCCTGGCAGTCCTGAGCCTCCAGCCCAGAGCAGGGGTGGATTAGACTGCTCCGAGGAGAAGGCTGCTTGGGGGTCTCTGCCGCGATGGCAGCTGTGACCGAGACAGCCTCGAAGACAGGCAGGAGGGGACAGGGAGGGCTGTGTCCTCTCTGGGACAAGCCCAGGGCCTGCACAGAGGGAGGCTTTTGTCTGGAAAACTCCAGCAGGGGCGTCCTGTGTTTAGATACCAAAGAAGATGGGCTCCGGGCTAAAAGCCTAACCCTGATCCCCCAATAGTTCAGAGCCGCTGCTGCCTGCTGCTTGGCGGG